AACAATATTTCCCATAGTATTATTTATTTCTGTTTTTGTATTTTAGTCAATGTATCTGCTTATGTTTAAAAAATATGGTCACAGTATTTTCAAAATAACATTTTATCAAATTAAAGTGGAAGTATTTCAAAATTTTAACCAAGGAAATGCTACCTATTCCCATAGTACAAGCTGGTTATACAATGCTGCCATCTGCTGGCCAATGAGTGAAAATGTTATTTAATGGGGTTTTATGGGGTCCCAATAGCTTTGACAGGCTAATGCAGAACTGGATCATCCACAAGGCAAACTAGCTATTAGCCCTAGGGCAGCGGTTCTCAACCTGGGGGTCGCGACCCCTTTGGGGGTCGAACGACCATTTCCCAGGGGTCGCCTAAGACCATCGGAAAACACATATTTCCGATGGTCTTAGGAACCGAGACACCGCTGCTGTCTCCGGCGATGTGTGGGCGGGATGATACGCTGCTCCTGTCACCTGGCCACACCTCCGGGATCGCTCAGCAGCTCCGCCTCCTTGCCGCTGATTGGCCACCGGAACTGTAGCTCAGGAGAGGCACACAGGCGGCCAATCACCGGCGAGGAGGTGGAGCTTGGAGAGGAGGAGCCGAGCGGCAGCGCGCGTACATCAAAGAAGACCGAGGGAGCTGCCGGAGCGAGTGAAGAGGAGAGCGGCCAGAGAAGGAAGACAGCTGACAGGTAAGTGAGAGAGCGAGCCCAGGCTGGAGCAGGGGTCAGCAAAGTAAGTATCATTGGTGTCAGTGGGAGGAATAGTGCCCCATCATTTGTGTCACTAATACCAACGATGGGGCACTATTCCTCCCCCCACTGACACCAACGATGGGGCACTATTCCTCCCCCCACTGACACCAACGATGGGGCACTATTCCTCCCCCAACTGACACCAACGATGGGGCACTATTCCTCCCCCCACTGACACCAACGATGTGGCACTATTCCTCCCCCCACTGACACCAACGATGTGGCACTATTCCTCCCCCCACTGACACCAACGATGGGGCACTATTCCTCCCCCCACTGACACCAACGATGGGGCACTATTCCTCCCCCCACTGACACCAACGATGGGGCAGTATTCCTCCCCCCACTGACACCAACGATGGGGCACTATTCCTCCCCCCACTGACACCAACGATGGGGCACTATTCCTCCCCCCACTGACACCAACGATGGGGCACTATTCCTCCCCCCACTGACACCAACGATGGGGCACTATTTCCCCCCCCCCCTGACCCCAATGATGGGGCACTATTCTCCCCTCCACCACACTGACATCAATGATGGGGCACTATTCCTCCCACTGACACCAATGATGGGGCACTATTCCTCCCCCCACTGACACCAACGATGGGACACTATTTTCCCCCCCCCCCCTGACCCCAATGATGGGGCACTATTCTCCCCTCCACCACACTGACATCAATGATGGGGCACTATTCCTCCCACTGACACCAATGATGGGGCACTATTCCTCCCACTGACACCAATGATGTGGCACTATTCCTCCCACTGACACCAGTGATGGGGCACTACTCCCACTGACACCAGTGATGGGGCACTACTCCCCCCACTGACACCAGTGATGGGGCACTACTCCCCCCACTGACACCAGTGATGGGGCACTATTCCTCCCACTGACACCAATGATGGGGCACTACTCCCCCCACTGACACCAATGATGGGGCACTACTCCCCCCACTGACACCAATGATGGGGCACTATTCCTCCCACTGACACCAACGATGGGGCACTATTCCTCCCACTGACACCAACGATGGGGCACTATTCATCCCACTGACATCAGTGATGGGGCACTATTCCTCCCACTGATACCAACGATGGGGCACTATGCATCCCACTGACATCAGTGATGGGGCACTATTCCTCCCACTGACACCAGTGATGGGGCACTATTCCTCCCACTGACACCAGTGATGGGGCACTATTCATCCCACTGACATCAGTGATGGGGCACTATTCCTCCCACTGATACCAACGATGGGGCACTATTCCTCCCACTGATACCAATGATGGGGCACTATTCCTCCCACTGATACCAACGATGGGGCACTATTCCTCCCACTGATACCAACGATGGGGCACTATTCCTCCCACTGATACCAACAATGGGGCACTATTCATCCCACTGACATCAGTGATGGGGCACTACTCCTTCCACTGACACCAATGACATGGCACTACTCCTCCCACTGCAGAATTACAGTTATGAAGTAGCAATGAAAATAATTTTATGGTTGGGGGTCACCACAACATGAGGAACTGTATTAAGGGGTCGCGGCATTAGAAAGGTTGAGAACCACTGCCCTAGGGCTTTGTTGTATATCTGAGAGGCTCAACTATGACCTTCATGCTGCTGCAGTCAGCCAGGACATAGCACAATTGGTCAAAGCTGTGGATCTGCCTATCTCTACACAAGAGGGGATGCACTTGTAGGCAGTTGGTGTCTGATGCAGTTGTACCAGTACAGACAATGCAAATAGCTTGGCTTCTCTGTGCCTATTGCAACCCTTATCGATGTAAATCAGAAGGATGGAGGTACAAATCTGCTATCCTGCATTGGAGTCCAGTTACAGTTCAGGATCTAGTGGCCATAATGTGGTATTTTCCTGATTCATTCTATTCTTTATGGATGAATAACATTAAACCTGGAAAGAAAATAGCCAAATAACATTTGATTTTGTCCCCATTCACACAAGATGAAGAGTTTTTGTGAACTTTTATAAATACTCGTCCAGGTGTCTGGTTTGGGTCAGCAGCTGATTTGCATATCACTAAAAATATATTAACCGCTTCTGCGCCACCCTATAGCAGATATACTGCTACAGGGCGGAGCGAGTGCACAAAATTTTGCAGTTCCGGGTAGGGGGCCCTACCCACGCTGCCATTCGCAGCCTCGGCTTTCAATCACCGAGTCGCGGCTGGTCATTCCCTGCCGGCACCCGGCGATCCCCGAGTATGTCCGATGGGTGGAGAGATCTGTATGTAAACAATACAGATCTCTCCCCTCTCAGCTCCTGCACACTGCTTTGTATGGCTCTGCATAGCAAAGCCATACAAAGCAGTGTGCATACAGTGAAACACACACACAGCCCCCATAGTAAAACAGCACACAGTTAACCCTTTGATTGCCCCAGATGTTAACCCCTTCCTGCCCAGTGTCATTAGTACAGTGTCAGTGCTTTTTATTAGCACTGATCTCTGTTTTAGTGTCACTGGGGATGTCAGTGACACCAACTCAGCTGCCCCCAGTGTCAGAATGCCCACCGCAGTCCCGCTATGAGTCGCTGATCACCGCCATTACTAGTGATAAAAAATTCCATTATGTATACCGCCATTTGTAAACGCTATAACGTTCACGTAAACCAATTAATTTACACGTATTGGGTTTTTTTCTTAGCAAAGACGCGTAGCAGAGTGCATTTTGACCTAAATTTATCATGAAATTTGATTTTTTTACTGGACATGTTTAATAGCAAAAAGACAAAAATATAGGGTTTTTTTTTTAAAATTGTTGGTCTTTTTTTGTTTATAGCGCAAAAAAAAAAAAAAACCGCAGAGGCGATCGAATACCACCGAATGAAAGCCAAAAGTAGCAGGACTGGCATACTAATGCTTGACTTTAATGAGGTGACAAGAGTACTCAATGCATATTGTCCAATCCTATCCATATCATCTCACTGGTGCAAAAAAATCACTTGGATACAACTACCCACAATTACTTATTTTCAGCTAATCAATAAAATGGGGCCAGGCCTCATGCACGCAGAGACCGTACAGCCTTCCACTGAGGTAAATGTAGAGGATGCAGCTGTATGCGGTTTTGTGGCAGAGCCGTAAGCGCATGCACACATGTATTCTCGGGGCACACACTATCTGCATTCACAGCATACCTCTGTGTATGTGTAGGTGCTTTCAGCAACCCCCCAGTGCATAAAGCTGAATCTTCTAATTGATCTAATTGGGTGGCTGTTCACGACAGCAGTGGGTCCCAGGAAAGTGATTACACAGACTCGGCACACTGGGATTGATTTACTAAATCTGGAGAGTGAAAAATCTGGTGCAGCTGTTCATGGTAGCCAATCAGCTTCTAACTTCAACTTGTTCAACTAAGCTTTGACCAAGAAACCTGGAAGCTGATTGGTTTCTATGCAGCGCTGCACCAGATTGTGCACTCTCCAGTTTTAGTAAATGAACCCCACTGCCATGTGCAAGAAGCCTGATCTCAGTAGTTAAAGTTCTGCACAAAATACTAAAGGTTTGTGGACACCTGACCATCACACCTACATCAGATTGTTGAACATCCCATTAGCAAATCATGAGCATTAGTAGGGCGTTATAGCCTTTGTGCTTCCACTCTCCTAGGAAAGCTTTCCACAAGATTTTGGAATGTGTCTGTTGGAGTCTGTTCCTATTCAGACAAAAAGAGCATTTGTGAGGATGTAAGACGAGAAGACCAGATTCACAATCAATGTCCCAATACATTCAATAGTGCTTTAGTAGGGTCGAGGTCAGGGCTCTGTGCAAACCACTCTCCTCCAAACCAAACTTGTTAAACTGCACTATATTGCCCAAAGTATTGGTCAGCCTGCCTTTACAGGCACATGAACTTTAATGGCATCACCATCATAGTCAGGGTTCAATATTGAGTTGGCCCACCCTTTGCAGCTACAACTGCTTCAACTCTTCTGGGAAGGCCGTCCACAAGGTTTAGCAGTGTGTCTATGGGAAGGTTTGACCATTCTTCCAGAAGCTCATTTGTGAGGTCAGGCACTGATGTGGGACGAGAAGGCCTGGCTCGCAGTCTCTGCTCTAATTCATCCCAAAGGTGTTCTATCGGGTTGAGGTCAGGACTCTGTGCAGGCCAGTCAAGTTCCTCCACTCCAAATTCACTCATCCATGTCTTTATGGACCTTGCTTTGTGCAATGGTGCGCAGTCATGGTGGAACAGGAAGGGGCAATCCCTAAACTGCAGTCAGACAAGTACCATTCTCTTGACAACTGCCAAACCCAACACGTCAATCAGATTGCCAGAGAACACATCTGCACTGCCCTAGAGTCCAGTGGTGGCGTGCTTTACACCACTGCATCTGACGCTTTGCATTGCACTTGGTGATGTAAGGCTTGGATGCAGCTGCTCGGCCATGAAAACCCATTCCATGAAGCTCTCTACGTACTATTGTTGTGCTAATCTGAAGGCCACATGAAGTTTGAGGCCACATGAGGTCTTTAGCTATTGACTCTGCAGACAGTTGGCGACTTCTGCACACTGTGCGCCTCAGCATGCGCTGACCCCGCTCTGTCATTTTACTTGGCCTACCACTGGCTGAATTGCTGTTGTTCCCAGTTGCTTCCACTTTGTTATAATACCACTAACAGTTGACCGTGGAATATTTAGTAGCCAGGAAATGTCACGGATGAACTTGTTGCACAGGTGGAAACCTATCACGGTACCACGCTTGAATTCACTGAGCTCCTGAGAGCGAGCCATTCTTTCACAAATGTTTGTAGAAGCAGTCTGCATGCCTAGGTGCCTGATTTTATACACCTGTGACCATGGAGGTGATTGAAACACCTGAATCCAATGATTTGGAGGGCTGGCACAATATTTTGGCAATATAGTGTGTGTCTTAAGGAGGCTTGCTTTGTGTACAGGGGTACAATCATTCCAGAACAGAAAAGAGACATCCCCAACTTATTGTGGCAAGGTTGGAAATGCACAGTTGTCTAAATGTGTTTGTATGCTGTAGAAACACCGAAAATAATCTACAGGGATGGCCACATAAAGTTAGCTATACAGTGTATTTTGGCACACGGCATCACCTTGCTGATAAACACAACATATTCTCATAGTTCGTGTCACAGAGTGTAGAGTTCCCGTTTTCTCACTGAAATAATGTCACACTGTCATCTGGCACAGCTATCTCTAGATCAGTGGTTCTCAATTTTGAGACCAAAGTCCATTACATTCTTTTAAAACTTTCCATGTCCTTAACACAATGAGGGTATGTGAATACAAAATATGTATGGAAATACTGAACGACTCTGGATGGGGCTGGGTGTCACTCAGTGGTGTATTTAGTTCTTGTGCTGCCCTATTCAACAATAAAATCTTGTGCCCCCCTGCCCTACATGCAATCCCCCCTCCCCCCCCCCCTACCACCACCGCCATCTGCCACCACTGCCCATCTCTCCCCCACGGCCTCCACTTACCGCAACCACTGCTGCCTCCCTGAAAATTGACACTCAAGGCAAACGCCTTGTTTGTCTCGTGGTAAATACGCTGCTGATGTCATTTTGGGGGTTCTAAAGGGAGTTTTGGGACCTGGTGTCTGTAAAAGATTCTGGAGGGAGCTGGGGACAAATGAGGAATAGAGAAATTTTAGTTTCATTTCATTTCGGATAAATATGTTCATTGAAGAATTTTGTTTGTCATATTCGTTATGTTGGCCCAATATGTTTTCGGGTAACTTCTAAAAATTTAGCCGTTTTTCCAGAAGATTTCTATACATTCGACATATTATTGAATCAGATGGATTCAATATTTTCAGACGCTAGTCCAACCTACCAAGAGAAATGTCATGAGCTGACTGTACAATATCGACTGATGTCACGTGGATCCGTATTAACGAATGGAATGAAATTTGGATCAATTCATTATCCAAATTACTGAACGAATTTGAACATTTATTTAGTTTCCCTATGGGCTCAAACTACTATCGCATCATGTGACGTCATCCAAATGAAATTACTACATTCGGTAATTTTGTAATATATTATTTTTTTTTTCAGATTCATTGCCATTCGTTTCTGTGTCCATCTGAAGGTTTGAATACATCCAAATCTCTGAAAATTAACTTTTTGTCTGAAAAATGAATCAAAACTAAACACCTGTCTAATGAAGGATGGGGTCTCTGGTGGGGGCTGTGTGTTTCTTCAGGAAGCTGGGGCTTTCCAGGGGCACTGTGATAGACTGAAGTGCACTGCAGGGTCTGGTAGACTGTGGGATACTGTTGGAGGTTGAGGGCACTATGGAAGGCTAGAGGCTCTGCAGCAATCTAGGGGGCACTGGGGGTGCACTGGAGGGACTGAAGGCTCTCAGGGGGCCTCGGGGCACTGTGGGAGGTTGAAGAGAAACATGGACCACTATGGAAGGATATTTGGCACTTTGGGAAGCACTGTGGAAGGTTAAGGGACATGCAGGTGGTTGAAGGCCTAGGTTGAGAGAGGCTGCAGCCCAAGGTGGACCTTGGCTCAGTGATTGAGAACCGCTGCTCTAGATTAAGCTGCATAAACTCCTTTCTGAGAATCTTCTTATATACATGTTCAGAGGAATTCCTGTTGAACCTATACATATGTATCGCTGCATTTATGATATCACCAAGGGGAAAGAATGTTGCAATTGTCAATAAAGACAACTGCAACATACCAAAATATCCAGCATTACATTTTCTTCTACTGAGTAGTGTAGGAATTACTGAGCTACACTATGGATTACTGTAGGTACATCACTGATTTTCTAGAAAAAAGAACAGTGCATCCCAAGCACATACCTTATAACAGGGAGGAAACCTTCTATCTGCTAGCATTATGTGAGAGGCTTGGAAGCCTGGAGCCTCCTCCAGATGGACAGTCAGTGGTGAGGGAAGCTGGAAGTTTGTCGGCTTTTCTGAGTCATTAGATCTGTTATAGGCATCCCAGTGATAAATGAGTGCAACTTGGTAGGAGAATTCCAGAGCAATTGAAAGAATTCTTTAAGGCAAGCAGCAGGCCCCAGTTGTTTTGGGTCCACCCAGCTGTTGTCATGGATATCTGGAATCAGCAGTGAAACATCTGGTTTTCACGTGAAGATATCTAGTAATGGGTTTTAACTCTGTAGCAGCAGCACAACTTGTGTGTGTGCAGGGGCGGACTAACAACTCATGGGGCCCCTGGGCAATAGGGGATCATGGGGCCCCTGTGTCCTTGCCCAAACTCAAAAAAGCCTATGAAAAAGGTACCAGGGGCATCTCATGGGGCCCCCTACTGACCCCTGGCCCTCGGGCAGTGCCTGAGTTTTCAAATGGTCAGTCCGCCCCTGTTCCCAGCGCATCTGCACAGTTCCTCCCTAAATTCGCAGAGCTCACCTAGGATCTCAGATCTCTCTCTCTCACAGGTATGGGATATTTCCATTCTCCCGGGCTCCAGTGGATAACATCAGCACCCCTCCCCCCAGAGAAGCAGTACCCATCCCCAGATCCAAACGCTCTCAGCTCCAGTAACAGGATCTGTGTGTGAGTGAGAATCGAGTCATACAGATCCTGTGACAGAAGCCAGAGATCAGGCAGTGACAGGCGCAGGTTTGTCGTATCCATGGGTGTAGAATGGATCAGAGCACAGTGGGCCCCATACTCCTCTGGACACTTTGCATCCATGGATGATACACTACTGGCCATCATCTCTTTCTTATTTTTAGCATTTTTTGTTATTGGGGGATTTTTTCCCAATTTTGAATTAGTTTTTTGATTCATTTAAGGGCAGTGATCACTTTTTGCTGCTCTCCCATCTATAGCAAACTGTTGTTTTTCCTTCAGTGGGCTATTGTTTTAGGGTGATATTTTGGGGTTTTCGTTTTTTTTTTAGATATCGGTTTTATTTTATGATGATGTGGCTTTTTCCATCAATATTTGCTTAAAGTAGTGCTAAGCTTTATTTTTCATGTAAAACAGTATAAACTGTGCATGCATGCGTTTCTGGAAAATGTCCTTCCCTAATGCTGGATCAAAAACCCACCATCTTGTTTTGTTAATTCTGTTCTGAGCTCAGTCCACCGGAAGCACCTGTGCAGAAAAGTTCGTTCCCCCTTCTTAATATATCAGAAGGCTCTGATATACTTAGGAAGAGGTGGAGAAAAGTCTATTATCTTTAATGCTGATTCACACCTGCCTCCAGGGCCAGATCTAGCCTGTTTGATTTGGGGATGCAATAAAAAAATGCCAGGGGGGCAGGAGACAGTTTGTAGGGCAATGTACAAGGGTTAGCATGGCAGAGGACAGGGGTCAACAGGACAGAAGATAGGGTCAGCAGTGCAGAGGACAGGGGTCAGCAGGGCAGGGTACAGAAGTCAGCATGGTGGAAGGCAGTGGTCAGCAGAGTTGAGGACAAGGTCACTGCTGACAGGGTACTAATCAATATTCTCACCCCCTAAGCATAAATTCCTTCTGCAAGCCCAAATTCCTTACAAATTTAAGCCTACCTCTGAGGCAGCCGGATGCACTGGCAAAACTGGTACGGGAGCTATTTCCACACTCCCAGGTTTCCTAGTGATACCTGTCCTGATGCCTACAGCATGATAAGTATTATCAACTCCATTTTGACCTTGCTCCAATGCATTGAACTTTTCTATCTCTGATGAAGTTTTTCACCATTACATATCTAAGGATTGTCCCTTCTTTCCTCTGTGGAAATGCCACTCGGTTGATTCCTGGGCCAGACTTTTCACATTTATGTATACTGATGTATTAGGGAGGTTACTATTCTCTACACCAGGGGTCTCCAAACTTTCTAAACAAAGGGCCAGCTTACTGTCCTTCAGGCTTTAGAGGGGTGGAGTGGCCAGTGGGAGTAGAAAATGTTCCAGAGAAAGTGGGAGTAAAAAACAAGTTTGTAGTCAGTGGAAGGAGGAATAGTGTCCAGTAATTGGTATTAGTTGCAGGAATAGTGCCCCATCACTGATATTTGTTGGTGGAATAGTGCCCCATCATTGGTATTAGTGGGGTGAATAATGCCCCATCATTGGTGACAGTGGGAGGAATAGTGTCCCATCATTGGTATTAGTGGGATGAATAATGCCCCATCATTGGTGACAGTGGGAGGAATAGTGTCCCATCATTGGTATTAGTGGGGTGAATAATGCCCCATCATTGATAACAGTGGGAGGAATAGTGCCCCATCACTGGTGTCAGTGGGAGGAATAGTGCCTCTCATCATTGGTATCAGTGGAAGGAATAGTGCCCCTTAATTGGTATTGGTTGGAGGAATAGTGCCCCATCATTGGTGCCAGTGGGATGAATAGTGCCCCATCATTGGTGACAGTGGGATGAATAGTGCCCCAAAATTGGTATCAGAGGGAAGAATAGTGCCCCATCATTGGTATTAGTTGTAGGAATAGTGCCTAATTGTTTATATTAGTGGGAGGAATTGTGCCCTATCATTGGTGTCAGTGGAAGGAAAAATGCCCCATTGTTGGTGTCAGTGAGAGAAATGGGTCCCCACTGATGGGTGCCAGTGTAAGAAATGGTACCTCCTTGTTTGTGTCAGGGGGAAGAAACATACCCCAAGGGCCGGATAGAGGAAAGCAAAGGGCCGCAGTTTGGAGACCACTGCTCTACACTAACCCTATTGTTAAGTGCTAGAGGGAGGCGAAGATTAATATATATATATATCCTCCTCTGGACTACACGTTACCATCAATATGAGGTTCAAACCAGCTTTAACCAACTGCATCTTTCCCTGAGTGGCACAAGTTTGTGATATAAGAAATATCCATCTTGAAGAGGGCTAAGATATTTCATATTTGAATTGAATTCTATATGTTGAGTATTCACAGTCAATTTAAGACGTTTT